CATTCATGTGCTTCTTTGGGTCGCCTCTCCCGTTATACTTAGGTATCTTTGGCATTACATAGTGGTTTGGAACCTGGGCACTCCTTAGTTCCCTCGAGAATGGCAAATTCTCATCGTCATCGTCCAAGTCACAGGACCTCTGCTGTTCATCTGAATCATATTCCTCGGCCTCTTGCCGTAGTTGTTGGTAAGAGGTTTCGGGACGGTTCCTAGCCTCTTCCTCACTCCTCTGATGCCTATTTCTAGGTGGTGCAACACGGTGGGCAGTTTCATGCCTTTCTTTCGGCTGCTGGGGCATTGGAGGTGGAGGAAGTGGCCTTGTCCAAGGCTGGTGAGTCCACTGTTGCCTAAACCTCGGTTCAGCGGGGCTGATTCTATCAAATACACTGCCTGCCATCCTATGTCTTGACTCCTGCTCATACGGAGATAGGAAGTTATCATGGTTCAATGGGACCTCGATAGGTTGGCCCGAAGCGTAGTTCAAGGAAACATCAACTTCAACTTTCCTTTCAAATGGGCTTCCACCTCGGCTATAGTCCAACGAGGCAGCTCTATGACTTTGAATTTCATCTTCTTGTTGGTAGTGCCCTTGAGGGGCGTATGGAGAAATGGGAAAGTCTCCTTAGCCCTGCATTTGGGCCATGAGCTCCCTCATATCCAAGTTTTGGCTAGCAATATCCCTCATGTTGGCCGCCATGGCAGCCATTTCTCTTGAGAGCCGTGTCGTCGCCCACATTCCATCTCTTCTTTGGTGGTGGTGGAGTCTTTGTCGAGCTGTTGGGGCAATGGGTGGAAGAGGCACATTTGCATTTTCTCTTACCCTTCTGGGGGGTGTGTCTTCATTTGAACTCATTTTCTTTTTGTCCAACTCTTCAGATTTTGCTAAGTTGTGGGGCTTCCTCTTGTTCTTTTTCAAGAACAAATCTTTTTTCAAGGGGGATGCCCAAATGCTCTACAATAAGCTTTCACCACAAGGTTGTTCGTGGTTATGGTACGGTTTTCCACAGACGGCGCCAATCTGTTGACCCCAAAAAGTGTTGCCAACAGATGCCGGACCCACCCACGCACACGTGAGCGAATGTTCTACACGCTAAGACACGTGGACGATCTAGAACGAAAGAATCAGGGGCGTGGGAGTAGCTCAACGATGCAGGACGAGAACGTTCGGAATCCGGCAGAATGTTCGTAATTCGTTTGTACAATAATTACCAATCGGTGCTCATGAATGTGAATGTAAATGTGTATGAACTCGTATTGTGTTGTAAGATAATATGAAAGAGAGAGTAAAGTGTGGTTTCTTGTATTGATTCTCGCATTAGTCCTTCAATGTTATACAAGGGAAGTATTTATAGTGTTACATGTGAAATGACAGCCCTTAGATGAGGTGACACGTGGCCTCATCTTCTTAATTCAAACATCTAATCCTAGGCATCACCTTTGACTTGTTAGCTTGTTGCGCATTTATTACTTGTGCAGAACCCCCATACTAGTGATAAGACCTGACATATGCACTTATGACAAACGTTCCATCAATCATTCTAACCAAATCCTTATGTTGGAGATCTCTTGGGAGAAGTGACCATGGAAGACGTTTCTTCATGGTTCGGAGGCTTCTGCTTCGAATTCAAGGCTTCTGCCACTCACGTTGTACTTCCGCTGTAAGGTTTCGACTATCTTCACAGGCCTCGACATATGAGGCTCGGTTAGTTTCACAGACTTTGGCATATGGGCCTCGGCATAAAGGGCATCAGCCATTCAGCCCACTTCGGTTAGAGTGCCACGTGGTTCGAAATGAGTGGGTCATAGGCTCACCTAGGTTGGCCAAGTATGACAACACGTAACAAAATCCATGACCATTTTTCATAAGACTGAGTTTTGAAAATAATTATAAAAAAAGTATTGATGAAAGGTCGACGGGGCATCCATATCTATCACATGGTAAAAGGGTAATTAATTTAACACGTCAGTTGCATAGTCCAAGCATGTGCTCAGCACTAGCTGCCAAGAGATGGCCTACACTTTCACCTCCACATGTGGTTGAAACATGGCACCTTGCAGCCATAACAAGTTGAATTGCAAAAAAAAACCTACAGCTCATCCGCCACCCATTACTAATACCCAGTGCCTGTGTAGATATAATAAATCAACCATTTGAATAGTTTATTGTTGGTCAAAGAGAGAAAAGTTATGAACACCACTTTTTATAAAGACATACTACAGTGATCTCACATTTTCCAACCTCCAACCTAACTTCTTCACTTTCTCACACTTCAAAGACCATCGTGAGGGCCACTGAATTGCTACTCAAAACCACCAAATTACACACTTAAAAGGTGGTGACAACACCTCTTCCGGCCACAACCATCCTCTCGGAGCACCATTGCTCCAACTCGTACATCTTATGCACTCAATTTGATGGAGTGGTTTCAATAAGACAAGGCAAAAAATTGATGAATTTTTGGGATTTCACATGAACAGAAGCAATCTGGTTTTGGTGGTTGAAATGGTTGTTCTATACTCTGTAGATTTGAGGTGGTGATAGTGACGATTTTAGGATTTTTTTTTATTGGGTGCTGGTTTTGATTGTGGTGTAGTAGAAATGGAGGTTGTGATTTTTGGTGGTTGTTGTAAGATCTTGGTCTTTGTCCTTCTCCGTGGATTTGAGGTAATGGGGGCAATGGGTTTGGAGTTTTTTTGTTAGGTGGTAGTTGTTGTGGAAATGGAGATTGTGATTTTTTGGATATTTTATGGTGATTTTTGAGGTGATCTTGTGGTGGATTTTAAGGAAGTGGTAGTGCTAGCGATGCTGGTGGGGGGGGGGTTGTGGTGCTAGGTTTGGGTTGGGTTGGGGTTATATAAACATGATTTGTGATCAATATAATGGGTTAATCTATGATCAATAAATAATTAGTGACCAATAAAATAGATAATTTCTGATATTGATGCAATTATTTGTGTTGTGACCTGTATACAATGGCTTGTAACATGTAAACTGAGAACATGTCACATACCAAATAAAATTCATCACAGATTACTGATTCACGTGCATAGGTCACTGTTAATTAATCATTGATCAAAGTTCATAGGTCATATGTCATATTGTATATGTCACAGATGTTCACAGGTCACATGTTATAATTCATATGTCATTATTAATTGTCACAGTTATAGTTCATAGGTCATAATGTATAGGTTACATATTTTCATAGATCAATGTTATAGGTCACATGTCAATATTTATTGGTTACATGCTATAGCTCATAGATCACAGATAATAGTTCATAGGTAACAAGTCACTATTCACAGATCAAAGGTCATAATGTATGAGTCACAAATGTTCGTAGGTCATTATAGTTCTCATGTCAATATTAATTAGTCACAGGTTACATGTGATAGGTTATCTTCATCGATAACAGATCAATGTCTACAGGTCAAATCCAAGAAAAAGGATCATATGCTTCGAATATATCATAGGCAACATATCAATATAAATTCAAGAGAACTGGTCGCATGCCATTGATTTATCCAAAGTGGCCACAAATTCAATTAACCAGTTTTTGACGATGAGAATTAAAATTATTTGATCATGTGAATGCTCTATAAATTTATGTTGGAGGATGTTTTCAATTTTAATAAAATAGATTTAAATTAAACCAGTGCCGCTCAATCGGTGTTGAGGAAGATGATTAGTTGCCGACGATGCTCAGTCGGTGTTCTTTAACAGCAGTTATGTTCCCCCTTCTATCTCTATCTAAGTCGATAATGTTCTGCGACAATCAGTTTGTCACTGAAGAAAATGCTTAGTCGTTGACGATCTCTGCAAAGTCTATCTTCTCTTTGCGAAGTTATTTGAATGCCAATGACTGTGAAAGTGCATATCGGTGGTGGGATGATGTCGACAATTGTAAAAAGGGACGGCGAAAGGCGGATGCCAGTGACCATGTCTCGAACTCGAGAGATATTGGTATTATTTTATATATAATTAATATAATTTAATTACCACCTGAATTTTGACAAATGTAAACTTACTATCTTAAAATTGAATTAGCATAAACTTTAAGGTTTAAGACATGATTTTTCCCCATCTTCTTATATAGCCCAATCATGCTATTGTAACAGGGAGGGTGATACTCACAATAGGGGGTGGGTCTCACTTTTTTTTTTTTTTACATTTTTTATTCAAATGAGGTCCACATTTGCGAGTGAGTGTTAGCCAAGTGGGTAAAAAAATTTCTGATAAAAGAGCTTTTTCCTATATAGTCAATGAATAAAGCCCCCTGTCCCGACTTGAGGATAGAGTTAAAGATAGGGGAAGGCCCTGTTTCGGCTGCGGGAGAGGGAGCAGGGCTGATACACGGCAAATGGTAATTGACCGCGTGGCACATTATCCATGGGAACTGCAATTTGTGGACGTTAATTTAACCTATTTTCCAAAAATAAAAAACTGTGCGGCATTCACAGTTATTGGAGAAAATTGTAAACTTTGTCCTCAACTTTTAAAAGAGCACAGGATAATATTCCACCATTGAACAAACCACTTCTAATAATGAAAACCGGCCAAATTTTTAATAAATCCTTTCATGAACCTAGCATACCCAATTTTAGGAAACAAGGTTTTTCTTCTAATTATTGTTTAAAGCCCTTTGACAAGAATTTTTGCTTCTACTTTTTATAGACATTTTTTTAGAAATCTACATTAGATAAAGTACTTTCTAATAATTATTCAACATGTTTAAAAATAGCTTTAGTTAGTATCAGAAGCAAATTTTGACTTTTCAAAAATATTGCCAAACAAACCCTTAAAAGTTACTTCGAGCATTTAGATTTTCTATGTCCATATTTGGTGGGGATTAAAAATCACAATTATAGTAGATTTTGATAAAAATTGATGAAATATATGGTTGAAAAATTGTGAATTTCATGAAACATGTTATTAAAATCAATCACTACCAAGAATGCGCTATGTATTAATAACTTTGAATATATTGCTCATGAAGACTAATTTGCTATTGAAGCAATAAGTTAAACGCCAATGATGCAATTTTCAGTTATTTTTATTACGACCACAGGATTCCTACATAAAACTCCATCTTCCGCTGGTTTTCTTCCCCAATCCATCAAACAGCAAACTGAATTCAAAAGTTTCCCACTTGCCCAACACCTTTATATACACGAATTTCTCCAGTTTCATGGATCATCAAACAAGGTATCTTTGTAATATATATTTGATCGAATATATAATTCAAATATGAGGGCATTTTGGTTTGTCTTCGTCTATGTGATTCTATTTTGTAGTTCAGAATCCGAGGTGATCACCGTTGATGTACACGCAGCTAAAAAACTCCTTAATTCAGGCCACCGCTATCTGGATGTCAGGTATTGTAATTATTTTTCTTTTTTGATAAAAAAAATTAGGAATTTCGGTGGCGTAAATGATAGCTTTTTTATATTTACCCTTAACATGTTATGGTGGCTGTTTGAGAATGCTAATTCTGAAACGACTTTCTGTTGGAGCTTGAAGGACCGTTTGGGGAGGACTTCTTATAGATTAGTTGAAAAATTACTTTTAAGTCAATTTCGTTCTAAAGTCCTTCTATATACACAAATCACTCCCGGAAGAGTATCGAAACAAGTTCAAAGCAGCTTTAGACTTTTGAAAAACCGTTATCAAATGAGCTCTAAACCGAGTGAATTGTTTGATCGAGC